TATATTAACCAGTGTGATTCTCCTAATAACTGGCAGTTGTAGGTATTTGTTTTGGTCTCTGATTTACAGCACAGGAAACTGAAGCTCAGAGAGGTTGAACACTTTGCACCTTCACACACAGACGCACTCTAAATTCCCACATTAAAAAAAAAAAAAAAAATCCTCCCTTGAGCCCATTCCTACTTCTGGCTCCAACCCTAAATTCTGTTTCCCTTCCCAAAATAGCTGTTAGAAGAGTTACCTATGTAGAGTCCTGATCCCCACTTTTATAGCCCCATTCTCTCACCCCCTTTGAATGGGCTTCTGTCCGTGCTTGTCCAGGTCACTGGACATTCTTGGGTCAAATCCAATGGCCATTTCTCTATTCCTCTTTTACTCTTGGCTGCACTCATCACGTTTGACTCCTCCCTCTTTCTTGAATTATTTTCTTCTCTTGGCCGGCAGGTCACCACACTGTCTTGGATTTCCTGCTATCTTACCGGCTACTCCTCCCTCCCATTTCTGTGTGGCTCGTGCTCTGTTCTATCTCTAAGAGTGCTCCAGAGCCCATTGCTCATCCCCTTCCTGCCTGACCCCATCTGGTCCCATGGCTTTACATCTCCAGCCTGACCTTTCTCTGGCATTCCAGATTCACAACCAACTCCCTGCCCAGGATGGCTACATAGACGCCTAACAAGTGGGGGACTTTCAAAATTGTCATGTCCCTATCCTGATTCCATTCCCTAACGTGCTTTCCCTCCTCAGGCTTCCCCATTTCTAGAACTTGTGCCAACATCCACCTAGTTGCTCAAGCCCAAATCTTTCTCAGTATTTCTTTTCAATTCTGTCCCCCAAACGGTTCCCTAATCTCCTTTTCATCTACCTTCACCACTTCCTCCCTGGCCCCAGCCACCCTCACCTGTGACCTGGATCACTGCGGGGTTGTCCGGACGGGTCTCCCTCGCCCCCAGGAATCCGTGTCTGCACAGCAGCCAGCTTTCTTTAAACAGGTGGATCAGATGATGCTACTTGGCTGCTTAACACCATCCCTAAGGGCTTCCCACCTCCCCTGACATAAATCCCACACCCCTTACTCTGGCTTACAAAGTACCCTTGTCCTGCTCGTGCCTTCCTGGTTCCTCATCTGCTCTCCCGGCCATATACTCCAGCCACATTGCTCCTGCACCCCAGCCTAGTTCCTGGTCAGCGTTTTGCACTGGTGGTGTCCCCTGCCCGGAAAGTTCTATTCCTCACGCGGCCGTCATTGAGCTGTTGGGTTGCACGTCACCTCCTTGGTGAGGCCTTTCCTCACCACCCAGTCTGAAGTAGCTACCTGGGCATGTCCCGGGATCTTGAGAACTGCTTGGGAGTCTTTTTAACACCCCCTCCCCAAGTTCCACCATCTAGGGCAATCCAAAATTTCTGCAAGACTTCTGTGACTTTCCAAGGACTGACTTCACATTTCTCAATCTCTAATTCCCTGTTCTAGGGCACTGGCCCTGTCTCACAGCCATGTGAACCTCAGCAGGGAGTCATCCCCCTCATCGCTTTCCCCCCAAACCACTCACATCAAGTATTCGGGGAGCTGCATAATTGATGGGACTCTTGAGGGCTTCAGGGAAGAGGAAGGTCCCAGCATTCCCCGCACTGGCTCTAGCCACTCCCCTGCTGCTCTCCCCACCCCTCTCTGGCTCTCAAAGGCAACACAGAACCTCCTCTTGGTTCACCCCTTCCCCTGGTCTGGGCCCCAGTCTGTAGTCCTGTCCTGGGGAACTTTCCTGCCTTAACATTTTCTTAACAGAGGTTGTTTCCTCCATGAAAGGGATTCTTTCTCTAGCTGCTAAGAGAATAACAACATTTTGCATTTTATTATAGTGCTTGTTCCAGACCTTGTAGTTGGGGATTGTCACAACAGCCCTGTAAGGGGTCAGCTCCATTTTGCAGACGAGGAAACTTGGCTCAAAGAGGTAAAGGCCATCACTGGTAACACCAGGCTCTGGAATGATACAGCGTCCCTCCCTGTGTCTGCCTGTTTCTTCCTCAAAATCTCCTTGGCAGCAATCACAGGATAGCCACATGGAGGTCAGGGTCTCGGGAGCCCAGATCACGGGAAAGGAGGCTCTCAGGCCTTGAGCTGTTGCTCTCTTTGTGGGGTGGATCCAGTTTTCCCCTTACTCACACAGTCCTCAGCCTCATGGAGACCAGAAGTTTCTTCTGTTTAAAATATGGCCCCCAGTTCTAATGCCAGATCTGCCAATGACTCGTAGGGTGGCCTTGGGCTAGTCACTGTCCTTCTCTAAACGGTGGTTCCCTTATCTCACAATGAGAGAAAGCTCTTTTCTGTCCTACATTCTACAGTCTTAAAGAAAAGTCAGATGCCGTCATAATAAGGCTCATTTACTGAGCACTCGCTCTGTGCTAAGCATTCTCCTACCCCTCTCCACATCTGGAGGTAGGTCCTGTTATTTGACCTATTTTATAAACGTTGAAACCAAGGCTTAGAAGGATTTAGTAGTTGCCCAAGGTATCCTAGTAAATGGCAGAGTTGGGATTCGAACCTAGATTTTGCCTTTCTGAATTTGGAGCGTCAGCCCTGTCCTGCTAATACTCGTTCTGGGTGCTGACGACTCTCCACTGGTCACTCACACACGTGCACGGACATGTGTCCTCTCTGGGGGGAAAGGCATGTTCACCTGGCCTATCTTCGAAGGCCTCCTGGAGGCCACACAGCATTTCTTACTGACCTGCCAAAGCTAGCCTCAGCATATCCATCATCTGGTTCAAATCCTCATGGTGCAGGAAATGACTGCACGGAGAGGGACACGTGGCCAGACCTCTTCCCTGCATGTCCGTTCTCTTTGTACTACACACAGTTGCTTCCTTGTGTGCGTGCCCTCCTGTCCTACCCACTGGTCTCCCCATGTTGCTGTGTGTGGTCTTCACCTGTCCTGAGGCGAAGGCCTTTCTCGGACCTAGCAGTGAAAGTGACCCACTATTCTAGGCCTTATTTTCCACCCCCCACCTCCCAATCAATCCCCCCTCCCCGCCCACACCGCCCCATCCCACAAGGCTGACAGTCATGTGAGCTGGTTGGTTTATGTGGGTGAGGTTTTTGCTTTAGGATGATCAGGGCTGGCAGACCCCTGTGTGTCCCAGGGAGGGGGGTCCTGTGTGTGTGTGTGTGCAAGAGAGAGAGAGAGAGAGAGAGAGAGTTTAAGGCCAGGCATATATCTACCTTGAAAAGACTAGGAATAGCCCTCTTTAAAAACAATTGGAAGCTCCAGAGGGAAGTATTTCCAGTGTTAAACCGTTGGGAGTTTCTGGCAAGCTTTATATGATGTGCTAGGATGGGACTTTGACTTTGTAGATAGACCTTCAATTAGGCTTTCAGACTGACCTCTCACCTCTGAACTCTGATGGACCCAGAGAGAGAGAGAGAGAGATAACAAACAACGTTTCCTGTCCAGCTTGTCAGGATCCTGGCCTTGGCCTTTGTTTCCTGTTTTCAGCCCCCTCCCCATCCTGTCCTTTAGGCTTTTGAACTCTGGTTCCCTGATTTTGACCCTGGTGCTGGCTCAGGACTTTGAAACTTCCTGCTGCCTTGGGTGTACATGCTGAACTTGTTCTGGCTCCTGTGTCAGTCTGAGGCCTGCCACCCCTCCATGTCCACTCTGGCCTCTGCAAGCAAAGGTCCGGGCCTGACTGCATCGTATTTGTTAGTGACTCTGGCATCCCTGGGCTGTGAGCTACTAGAGGGAGGCGTTTGATCATATTCAGCCGTAACACCTCAGCTCTGATAGCAGGGAGGGTAGAGAGAAATCCCTGGATCAAGGAGCAGGAACTCCCAGTCCGGGAGGTTCTAATGCAAGCTCCCTGTGAAGGGACGGGGGCAGGAAGCATGTGGTCAGAGCCTCAGACCCTTACCTGCCTCCAGCCCCTAGCTGGAGACTGATGAGTCACCGTACAAGTTAAAGTGCTTTGGGCACAAGTAATAGAAACTAAGATCCCCTAACCTTGGCTAATGTAAAGGAAAGGGGTATGGACAGCGAGACGTCCACCAATGGATGAATGAGTAGACAAAATGTGGTACATACACACGATGAAACATTATTCGGCCTTAAGAAGGAATGAAGCCCCTGACAGTGCTGCAACCTGGGTAAGCCCTGGAGACAAGACGCGTGTGACACGTGCCCGTGGCTCAGCGTGGGAGCTGAGATCCCTGCTTCTCTCTGTTCCGGCCCCGCCTGGGGAAGACCACACAGCTGCACATCAGAGGATCTAGCAAAACCTCTGTGACAAGGACAAAAACTATTAACATTATTAATAGCTATCCTTATTTTCCCACTCTGGCCTGCTTAAAAAAAAAAAAAAAGGCAGCTATGTTTTAAAAGAAAAGAAGAAGAAGAAGAGATCTAGTCAAGGGATAAAGATGGACAGGAAAATCAAGAATTCTGTGGGGCTTTTAATGAGTCAGAGGCCAGAGATGTTCTGGCCGGTTGGAAGCCAAGCATAATTATTTGGGACTGCTGGTGTGTGGGTGTGAGGTGAGGCACTGAAAGAGCGAGAAGAAGGATGTGAAATATGTATTTCTGTGTATTAAGAATGCATGTATCCCTGTCCCCCTTAACTTTGGCATTTCCTCCAGAGATTGAGAACGTTTGAAATACTTTTATTTTTATTTTTTAAGATTTTATTTATTTATTTGACAGAGACACAACGAGAGCAGGAACACAAGCAGGGGGAGTGGGAGAGGGAGAAGCAGGCTTCCCGCGGAGCAGGGAGCCCGATGCGGAGCTCGATCCCAGGACCCTGGGATCATGACCTGAGCCGAAGGCAGACGCCTAACGACTGAGCCACCCAGGCACCCCTGAAATACTTTTAATTAGCATCTCTGATTGCGACTGTCATTCAGACCACACGCCCCCCCTCCCCTGCATTTCACAGGGCTGCACCTTTCTTTCCCAAACCTGGACTCCCACCGAGGCCTGATGGTCACGGAGAGCTGTGATGTTGTGGCCTTCCTAAGGCCTAACGCTTTTGACCTGGGCCAAGTTCCTGGGAGGCAGCAAAGGTATATTGGGATCCTTGATGTACTCTTGGACCCATTTGTTTTGGGGGTTGGCGCAGACCTCTCGGTTCTTTTTGGTGACAAAGCTGTGGAGGCAGAGTTAGACGGTCAGCAGTCACGGAGTGGGGTGGGGGGTCCAGTCCATGCTCCCCCATTTCTAGCTCACCTGCGGCTTGCCTCATACTCTTCATTGCCTCCCTGGGCTTCCCCCACCTGAGTTCCCTCAGAAGGCCTCCCTGTCTGGATTCTAGACCTCGTCATCCCGGCTTCAGCCTGTTCCCCGCTCAGCCAAGATGGCTGCCATTTATTGGGCCACACAGCTCTAAGTGGCAAAATCAAGAATTCAACCCAGGCCTTCCCTGTGAGAGTCAAAGCCCGAGTCCTTAATCATGACTCCCCTCCTTCTCGCATGGAGACTTCCTGGTTCTGTGCATCTCGTTCCCGCCCTGGGTTCCCCTTCCGCCTCCACAAAAGTATCTGCAGGGAATGCTTACATGATTGCCGGCAGGTGACAGTTGAGGGCCTTTCTGTATCCCACCACCAGTTTCTTTGGCATTACTTTCTCATGGTGCTTCAGGCAGCAGGTGTGAGAACTGTTCAACGACTCAGGACTTTCTGAGGGAATCACATTGAAAGCTGAGCCAAGTAGGTGTAGAGGGAGCCCATGGTTGCCTACCTTCATCCCCCATCCCTTGCATTCCACACCTCTCATGGCAAAGCCATCTGTTAGCAGAGGCTGATGACAGCTTGACAGGTAACAGAGAAAGTGGAAAAAGTAGGTGAGGACACACACGTAGAACCTCCAGCCTCTGCACTGAGTTTCATCAAGTGCAAATGCCTCAGTTATTCACATTTGCTGGTGAACCAGGGCTTGGTTTGGCAAACACCTATTGGGCTCCTATTACATGCCAAGCTCTAAGGGGGCAAAAAACACGAGGAAGACACAGTCACTACTCTCGAGTATCTCCGAGTCTAGTCAGGGTGAAAAGGAAGAGTGAAAAATATTACAGTGGCATGTGCTCTGGGATAGAATAGAATTTGGCAAAAGGTGCTCTGGAAACAGCTTTGGGTGGCTGGGGAAGTCCCATAGCACGCGTGTGCACGCAAGTGCATGGCTTGATTCTTGAAGACTGAGCAGGATTGAAACAAAGGGGTTGTAGGGCTTGGGAGAAAGGAAGGTATGAAGGCTTAAAGGTGGGGGAAGCTTCTGTGTTGGGATGCAGATGGCTGGAATGCAATGCGAGAAGAAAGATGTAAGGAGATGAGATTGGGGCTCCTGGGTGGCTCAGGTTAAGCATCTGCCTTTAGCTCAGGTCATGATCCGGGGTTCCTGGGATCAAGCCCTGAGTCAGGCTCCCTGCTCAGTGGGGAGTCTGCTTCTCCTCTCCCTCTGCCCCTTCTCCCCACCACTGCACTCATATGCTCTCTCAAATAAATAATAATCTTAAAAAAAAAAATTAAAAAAATGTAAAAAAAAAAAAAGAGTTGAAATTGGAGAGAGAGAGAGAGAGAGGGGAGGCCCAGCACACCTTCCTTGGAGGGGAGTGTGGACTCTATCCTAGAGGCATTAGAGGGGCTGGGATCAGGGAGGAGGGTGAGATGAGCAATGAGCCAGAGAAGTTAGGGCGGGAAGAAAGTGTTCTAATTTAGGCTTTAGGTCAGACATCTTGAATAGGAATCTTGACTAAATGATTTGAATCATGAGCAAATTTTAAAAATCTCTCTAGGTCTCCTCATCTATGAAATGAGGGTAAAAAATGCTTACGTCCTGGGATCAGGGTGAGGGTTGGTGGAGAAAATGGTGGTTAAGCCCTTAATTCAGAGCCTGGCACATAGAAAGGCTCAGTCAGCGCTTGTTATCATTAAGAGCAGATGGTAGGAATGACCATTCTTCTTGCCCGGAAATGCCACTTGCCCGCCTCTCTTTGATGCTGACGGGATGCTGGCCTCAGTTGGTTGTTAGCACCGTGTTTCCCTTGAGCTCCCCTGACTGCTCATCAGTTGGGGATATCACATAGGAGGACAGGCAGAGACCTCCCCCAGCCCCCAAAACTGCAGAGTGCAAATCCCCTTGCAGCCTGACCCCTTGCTTCCAGCTGGTGGCCAAGACTGGAATATCTCGAGAGTACCATTTGGCCGATCCATGCTTTGCGTGGGCCATTTTCTCTTTTTGGAAGACTGAACCCACTGCAGCGGTCTGTTTGACCTGCCCTAAGGGCATTGTTGCCTCCTGCCACCCACGAGATGCAGCTCTGCTTATAGTGATGGCCATGACCCCGGTACTCCAAGCAAAGTTTACCAAGTTCAGGGGCATTTTGAGAGTGTACGGGCAGATTACATGGGGTGTGGGTGGCCCTTGCTCCCCTGAGAGTTTATACAGGCAGAGTCCGGCCAGACCAGATGCCGGGGTAGCTTTAGAGAGAAAAGAAGGGCTGGGGCACCACACCCTGGGGTGGGTATGTGGTGTCTTTCATAAATGGCGGTTGAGTCGGGGGTAGAAAGTGGGTTAAGCCGACCTTGTTCTCCGTAGGTCCCGAGCACCTGTGGCTCCCAAACCTTTCAACCCCTTTCCTCTTTTCTATGGGCTTTTCCTTTTTCTATGGACTTTACCCCCATTCCCCAGACCTGAGCTGGGGAATGGGTGTAGAGGCCATGAAATTCTCATATGCCCACCTGGGCATCCCACTGGGCCTTCTTTCGGCTGCCATGATAGTCCCAGCAATCTGTGCCAGACACTGCAAGGAAGGGGGGTCTAGGTTTAGAGTCCCCACTCCCGGGCTTAGCCGCCTCCCCAACGCTTTTCGTCCTGCTCTCCCAGAGCATCTGCAGCACCTGTCTTGCTCTCCTTTCATTGCTCATGTCTGTTACTTCCTTGGCTCCCCCTAAATGATCATTCCTGTTCTCCAACCTCGGGACCCCTGATGTGACCTTGACCCAGCTTCCTGAAACTGCCTGATGACCCCAGAAGGGGTCGGGACCCCAGCCCAGCTCTACTTGCAAAGGGGAGAGTTTGAGGACAGCAGGTGTGCCTGCAGGAGGGGAGGCCCTGCGGCTGATGACAGACGTGAGAGGGCTCTTGGCATCACCTCACTGCCAGCTACCTTGTCCCCCCTTATCATTCCTGCCCTACAGGGACAGGTGGACTCACTTGACTGGCCGTGCAAAGCAGGAGTCACGGTGAGGATAAGGATGAGGAGAAAGAGGGCAGCCCCAGGGACCTTCATCCTCTCAGGGGAGCCCTTCAGCTTCAGGGGAAAAGCTGGTCGTCCACTCTGACTTCACGGCCCTCTGGACTCTGACCACTTCGGAGCGGGTGGCGGAGGGAGGAGGGGCCTCCCTCAGTGTTTGCTGAAGGGGGGCGGGGCCTGGCGCAGGTGATTTAATAAGATTTAAGTTCAGGAGGAGAGGAGTGGAGAAAGGGAGTGAGTGGTTCGTGCGCGCTGGGTGTTGGCCACCTTGTATGCCCTGTTTTACTTAATCCTTGCAGGAGTGAAGCGGAGATTATGACTCTGTTTTATAAATGAAGGCCACCGAGGCTTGGCGAGGTTAAAGAAATTCTCCCAGGTCACAGAGGAAGGAGGCAGGCAGTTCTGAAAACCGGATCCGTGTGATTTCACCACCTTATGGGCCAGCGTCTCTATTTTGGGGGAGGTGGAGGGAGGGTGGAGCCACCCCAGTTCCCCCAGGGGAGCCATCACTGGGAAGGTGAACATAAGGCAGGATTAGAGAGTGCACAGACTGGGGCAAGGGGTAGGGTTTAGGCCTCTGAAAACGATGTCCCCCATCCCCCATCTGACACATGACTGAGCTCAGAATTTTTCCTGTCATAGATTATGTTACTAATACATAGAGAAAAGCAATGTGCTGATCTTGGGTCCTCATTTATTGCTGAGGTGTTTGGCTTGTTTGTTGATTTTTTTTTTTTTACTATCTTTGGACCTTGGACTCTGAACCAGTTTTAGGTCTAGTTGGCCATCCCTCTTGAGTCCCCGCGGTATGGGTTCCTCCAACCTGCCTCTGTGGCCAATTATGGCCAGCAGAGGACGCTCCAACCGCACACGCACCTGACAACCCGCTTCTGTGTCCCACAGTTCCAGGTTCCGGGTCCCCGGCCTTGACCAGGGCTAACCTGTCCCTCAGCATCTTCTCTCTTCAGACTGCCTCAGGACCCCATTCCTGGGGCTGAAGGCAGAGTTCAGAGAAGAGATGGAAGATACAGGGGGTTTTGCTGTGGATGGACTGTGAGCTCTAGAGGCAGAGGGGGGAGTGTTTCAGTAAATGAAGAGTAGAGGGAGGCAGGGGCGGATTGAGACCCTTATGGGGCTTGCTGTTTGGCATGACTGCTCATAAATAGGGAAAAGTTGTATAATGTATTTAGTCCTGCTGGGTTCAAGGCAGTTAGTGGTGGGGAAGCTGTCCTCTTTATGAAGGTAGGGAGGGTATGTCTGTGGGGTACCCCTTGGCTGCTATGTATGGAGGCAGGGTGGTCTGGAGAAGCCTGGCTGTGCCTTTAGCATACAAGCCTCCTCTTGGCCCTGGTCTTGGAAGGCCGCTGGCCAGGGAAGGATGGCCACAGCGCCTACACTGGGCATGCTCTTCCTCTGAGTATGCAGAGCTCCCCCTCGAACCCTGAAGATGGGTCTGAGAGCCTTTGGGGGCAGCTGGGTGTTATTCATGGAGCATAACCTCCTCCTGATTCCTGCCTCATTCCATCCATCCATCCATCCATCCATCCATCCATCCATCCATCCATCCATTTCCTGAGCACCTGCTATAGGCCAGGCTTTCTGTTAGGCCTTGTGGAGGGCACAAAAATGGCTCTAACAATAGAGTACAACCTGATGTATGTAAGTGGAGGGGAAGGGTTGGATAAAATATGTCCCCAAATCATTCTTGTCCCAGATGGCTGGGAACAAGGGCCTTGAGAGCTGCTCAGAACAAAGGATTTTGAAGTTTGGCTGCTATGAAGAAGGCTTTATGAAGATTTACCTGCAAAACCAGGTGATAACTCTTAGCTTTACACTTGTGTAGTTTATATAAGATAATACGCACAGGCTACTTAGCAGACTGCTTGGAAGGTAGAAAGCGCTAAGACAATGTCTGTTACCATCCTGATGATGATTGTGTACCCCCATCACAGGCCCTGACCTGTTGTTTTGCACCCAGGGCTGACCACACCTCTGCAGAACAAAGACTGATGCCGAGGGTGCCACACGGGCTGGGCTCCAATGAGTAGGTTCAGTAGAAATGAGTGAGGGCAGGGAGGGCATGAATTCAAGGTCTTTAATTCAAGGCAAGGCAGCTCCTGAGAGGCAGCTGGGGCTGAGAGGGGGGCCGTGGCTTCTTCTCTCTAAGATGGCCAGCTGTGCCCTTCTCCACCACTCTGGGTCACTCATTTCTCCCCAGGTCCTTGATGTAGTCCTGGACCCAGGCATCACTGGGGTTGGCACATATGGAATGGCCCTTTTTGGTGATGAAGCTGTGGAGCAAAAGGGATAAGGGTTACCAACTGAGGCATCCAGCAGCTGGGAAGTGAAAGCCGGTCAGCCCTCCCGAGCAAACTCCTCACCCACCTAGGCTGTTTCTCCTTCCTCTGCTAGAGGCAGCTCAAGGCCAGTCTCCTCTCTGAGACATGCTCTCCAGCCCCTCAGATTCCCCCTGGGCCCATCTAGCCTCCGTGCTCCCCCTGCCCTTGGAAGTGCCCCCCTCCCCATCTCCTCCGTGCTCCCCCTGCCCTTGGACGTGCCCCCCTCCCCATCTCCTTCCCTGACGCCTCCCGATCCATGGGGTCCTCTTCCTCCTGCTCCCTGCAGGCTCAGCCAGGCCAGAAAGCCCCCCGGGTTGCCCCTCTACTGCCTGTTGCTGCACCTGGGAGGTGCTCTGGGGAGTCCCCATTCCGGGTCCTCCCTCCCCCACCCCCCGCCTTGCGGGCTCCCTGCCCCCCAGTGGGGTGTGCGGGGTGCCACTTACACAATGCCAGGCCTGGCGCACTGGCTGCTGGTCTCATAATAACCTGTGATCCGGTGACGTGGGATTGCTTGGGCAACGTAGCCGACGCAGCACTCGGCCGGGTGGTAAGGTCCTCCTGAGGAGAGAGGACGGAGGGAAGCTGAGCCTGGGCTCTTTGTTAGAGGCCAGACCTGCTGGCTGCTTCTGCACTCCAGAGCGTGGAAGAGGGAAGGAAGGAGGAGGTGGCCCCGCTGAATTCGGACATAGGATTGTGCAGATTCTCTCCTCTTTCCCTCCTCCTGCATCGGTAATCACCTTCCTTCCTGTTCTTCAACCTCCCCTAGAAAGACTGGCTGATGACCTTCAACTCTGGATTGAAGCTTAGCAAAACCCAAGTCTTCTTAGTGAGTACACACCAGCCCTGCGGGGCAGGCTCGCACAGATGTTCCACATAAGAGGGATATTTGGAAGAAATCTCCATGAGGGACAGGGACACACACCAGCTGGGCGCGCAGACCCAGCCCCTCCCAATCTGCCCATTCTGCCTGTGTCCCCATGGAACCCCTGTCCTGCAAAGAGGGAAGGAAGCTGACACCAAGGTCCAAGGACAGGGAGTCAGGACACCCAGATCCCAACCTCCCCTCGCCTTTCCTGGCTTTGTGCCCATGGCAACTTTATTCCCCTGTTAGTTTCCTCATCTGTCAATGAGGTTGTTGGACTGGATTGGTGGTTTTTACACTGAGCTCCCTGGGGGTCTTGGGGCTTCAGGGTCTCTTTCAGAGATACTGATGCATTAGGAGTAGAGTTTTGGGGGTAGTATCCCTTTTGGCCCTTTTTGCTGTTTTACATATTAGGTTTCTGAGTAAGATTTTGCTTGAAGAAGGGTTCCACTGTCTAAAAAATGTTAAACATCACTGGATTAGGTGAACTGCCCAGTTATTTTCTGATTCTGCAATTCCATGGCTCTCATAGGAGGTGTGGGAGGGGGACAGTGGAAATCACACGTTCAGTCAAGCTTGACTTATGGAGGTAGCAGGAAGGGCATTTCTGACCAAGGGCCCTGGAGAAACAAGAAGGCACCATGGTCATGGAGTGGAGGGATGGGGGTGTGCACATTATGTGACCAACCTGGATAGGACTGGGAGTGTCCGGGCAGTGGCCTCCGAGGTCACCAGGGCGGCTGCATGCGTGGGTGGGAAGGGAAAGGCCTGGTCTTTTACCCAGCTAGCATCCTCCCTCCCCAAAGAATGGGATAAGGGGTCCTCTGGTCCCTGCCCAGATTCTCATTAACGTTAGACCGGCTTTATTTCAATAGCCTCCTCTGTTTCCCTCCCAGTTTCTGAAAAGGAGACGAGGTAAAATTGAGGGGTGAGGCATAGTTTTGGATGTGTGTGAAGGCAGCTCATCCTGAGGAATAAGCTGGGAAAGGGTGGCGAGATGGACCTGTACTTTCGTGGTTCCCCTCAGCGCACACCAAGCAAGGCTGCCCTTGCGGGGTGGGGCTGACTCTGGAAGCAGGTGGCCCCAATCTCAGGAGGCAAGCAGACAGATGGCTTTGAGGGTCCCCCCAAATTGCTCCTCTATCTCCCTGGGGATAATGTCCCCCAGATGGGCTGGGCCACTCTTACTTAATGGCAGAGAGAGAGGAACTGAGGGAGTGGAGAGGCAGGCCTCACTCCATGGCCTTGGTGGGCAGGGAGACCGGTCCTGGAGGGCGAGGACGAAACCAGTTTCAGAAGACCCCAGACCTCCTTCGAGAGCCCCTCCTCCTTATATCCCCAGCAACCTTACTCCTGATTCTTTCCCCACAGGGGCCAGGTTGGAAGGAATACAAGGTGTTGCACTCACGTGAGGAGAATTCAGCCTTGCGCCCCAGGGCGCAGGTGCCGAGGAGGATGACGAAGAGGGAGATGGCTGCCATGGAGACTTTCATCCTCCTGGTGGGGGAGAACGTTATCCTCCTGGTGCGGAGCTGCTGCAGGGGGAGAGCTGCCCTGGTAGGGACTTCGGAGGCTCCTGGGCTGAGGAGGTGTTGAGAAATGATCATCAAGGCAAAATGTTTTTTTTAAAATGAGGGAACTAAGATGACAAAGGGAAGTAGAGAGTAACGATGCCTCAGCAATTTCAGATCCTGAACGTTTGTTGAGGGCAGAGTAAGGGAAGCCTGGAGAGCCAAGATTTCAGGGAGGAAATTGCCTTCCATCCCTAGTGGGAATAAATTTAACTCCTTGGATATGAGCCCCCCTTTGGTGTAGGCCACAGCACAGGGCCTGGG